TGGTGTTTGCCCTCGGGGTTGGGTTTTCGTCGCTTGGCAACGACGTTGTAAAACAAGCCCCCCACTCGGTGTTTGCCATCGGGATTGGGTTTTCGTCGCTTGGCCACGACGTTGTAAAACAAGCCAATTCACTTCGTGAACTCGACAACCAGGTTACCGTTTTTAAAACCTCGTTTTTTTTTTTGGCGGTAACCATAATGGTGGTCGAGTAGATCATGTTGTGCGGGGTCGAGAACCCTCACTCCGCGCAACGGGGGATGATCGCACCACGTTGTGTTAAAATGGTCAAGCTTCCTCGAGGCAGTTACACAGTGCTTACAACTGTCTCTGGAAGTGAAAGCACCAGAAAATAAATTAAGTCATAGGTAGCTGTCATCCGTACGCAAGGAAGTAAGCACAAGTTGCCGAACACCCTTAGCAGGATGCAGCTCACCCTTCATGCGACTCGCCAAATACCTCACGGCGCTTCGCGCTTGGTGATGTGAAAGCCTGGTCCGGTGAGAACCCGGCGTGCTCCGTCCCGGCTTTATAGGGATGCGAGGTCAATGGTCAAACGACTACGGCATGCACGACTATGAGTACACCCCCCCCCCCCGTGACCCCTCACATGCAAACCATTTCGTCTGCTTTCGCACACCGCGTTTTCGTCGCTCGAAACAAATAGCTCGCGCGGCTCACGGTCCGGCAGAGCGTGCAAGTGCCCGTGGCAGACACCACCAACATCACCTTCGGCGGCTACTCTCTCCACCACAACGGGCTGGGAGCGGGGTCGGTCTACCTGTCCGCACAGCATGACGTCACCGCAGAACAGGTGAGAGGGTGGCGTTTGGCCGTGTGTACAACCATGGGGAAGAGCCAATCAGCTGGAAGCGTTCCAGGCACGGAGAAGCCCCCCCCCCAAGTCGCCGGAAGAATAGAAGTCTCGTCCAATCCAATACTTGACACAAGTGGATCGGCAACGGATCCGGAGCGGAGACGGTACCAACTTCCGTTCCTCTGCATCGCAGCGTAACACACACCCCCGCCCGCCCCATGCGTGCACGCGCAGTGGGTAGGCTCCCTGGTGCAGATCGGCCAGCAGCCGAAGGTGGGCCTCTCGTGCGGCACGGCTAGCAAGGACAGCTCCGGCGTCTCTGTGCAGGTGGGAGCTCGGATCCACAAGGACCACACGTATGGAACTCCCCCCGCTGCTGTGCATCGGTTCTGCCGCAGGACGAAATATCCTTGTTTTCTCTATGGGCGTACCTAGATATCGGTATAGGCATACCAAATCAGGGGTTCGCTACCTTTGCTGTAGTTTGATTTTATGCATCCCCTACTATGGCATATGCAACCTATTGATAGTCGTTTGAGACCCCAGGTGGGCTTATGGTTTGATAGGAGGTCGTTGGGTGTTTGGGTGGGGTCAGTTTCGCGACCCCAGTGTCCCTCTTGTCTCATCGCCTTCGACACATTTCTTGCGCGGTGGTGGTCGAGCGTGGTTTTTGCGTGTTACGCTGCTATTGTAGCTGGTTTTCGAACCTTCTAGGGCGTTCTCACCTTGCTGTCTCTTCGCAAACGAGACCTGGACCTGTCTAACCGCCACCGCAACGTGTAACCGATCGCCTCGCCGCTGCTCCATGACTATCTTAGTCGCCCACCCCCCCCCCCAGCGCTACACAAACACCAACCCTAAAAACAACAAACGACGACAACCACGTCATCTTGAGCAATGTTTCCAAACAAGCTCGTCAACGATAGCGACGACACAATCGCCATCGTAACCGCGGTCAACCAAGGACGAGAATGAGCGAAAACAACAGCATTTGTCACGTTGGACAACGTTGCCTATCAGACTCGTGTAGCCATGACCGCCAACCAAGCCCGACAATGACAAGACAACCTACGCATCTTGGTAGAACGTTGCCTTACAAGCTCGCCAACGATAGCAACAATATTAACATAGCAGGCACCGAAATCGTCATCTGGAACAACGTTGCCAAACTCGCCATATGTTCCACTGCCAACAGCAGTGGCACCGTCACTACCACTCACTATCACATCACCAACAAAGCACGACAGCAACAACAACAACAACAACAACAACAACAACAACAACAACAACAACAACAACAACAACAACAACAACAACACACCTTCTACCCGCGCAGAGCCAGTGCACGTACGAACCTGACGGAGGGCTGGGGTTGAGGCTGTCCACGACCGAGCGCTTGGACCCCGCCACGGTGAGGGTGACCTGTTCATCACACACTGCGGTCACGCAACAATCTGTATGCCACAACTCGTGTGTGGTTGGTTGCTGTTGCTGCTGTCATGTTTTTATTTATGGGTGTGACGGTTGTTACTTCTATCGTCGTCGCTGACGTTGTTGCTGTTGCTGTTGGCTGTTGCTGCTGCTACTGGTATTGTTGATTGTCAAACGTTCTTTTTTTGCGGTCGTGGTTTGTGGTTGTCAGTGCTGTATTGTGGTATCCAGATGTGGCTGTCGTCTTCCGTATCTGTTGGGAGGGAGGAAGATGCTTGCGTCCCGTGTGCCTTGCGGTAGAGTTGCTCGACGCACCGTACAGCAGTGGTTCGCTTTGTCCTCGACCTGCTCAGACTTGGCCAAACACGGTCGTCTTCTCATCTCGCCTTTTTGGCCTTACGCTCGCATCTTCGCTTCTATTCTCTCTCTCTCGCCCTCTCTCTGGCATTAAAACGCTCGCGTACAGGTGGTGGACATGTCGTGGGGAGTTGTAGGAGGCAAGGAGGGCGGTGCCGCGGATGATGCTGTGACCGTGCACGTCACAAGGGTGGTCGGAGACGGAACCGGGACTCTTGCTGGGGAGGTACGTTTTAGTTTTTGTTCAGTTTTTTTTTCGCAGCGTATGTATATTTCAATACGTTTGGCAGTTTTGAGGGAAGGTAGTGCTGCACTTTTCTCGCGGTAAATAATCGAAGGCAATCACCGCAGGAGGGATTGGTAGGGGGCCTATAGACGGATCAGCGCCGATTAGTCTAGCGGTTTGATTTTGGGCTCCTATGTATGTAGTACGCACGCTGAATTGTGTATTTTGGATAATTGTTGGTTGTCCGTGTCTACTTCTTTTGTCCTAGAACAGGACGAAAAGGAATGCATCCGGTACCCTACATTACGTCTGAATGTGTATTGTACTCGATCGAACATGTTGCGAATGTCTATGCCATTGGTACACGGCCTTCTTGTTGGTGCTTACTGTACGTCGCCCTGTTCCTGCCTACAAAAGGACGAGAAGGAGTTCACACGGCACCCTAAATCACGTCTGAATGTGTATTGCACTCGTTCGCCCAAACATGTTGTGAATGTATATACCATTGGCACACGGCCTTCTTGTTGGTGCCTACTGTACGTAGCCCTGTTCTTGCCTCTTTAACTTGTGTTCCCTCGCCTGTCCATGACGGGGTTCTTGTTTGCCACTCTGCCCTCGGCATGCTTTTGTATCCCCCGTGACATTGGTCCTACTGTCTGCCGAATTCTCTGGTTTCTCGCTCTCGATCGTCGGGCTTGGTTTTCGTCGCCTCGTGTTAGTCTCCTCAGTTATGGTTATCGTTTAGCGTATGATTTATTGAGGTCCGCTCTCTTGAGCTGGGTTAGTGAACCTAAATATTTTCTCCATTTTGAGCCTGACTCTACGGAGAACACGCGTTCTTCTTCTCAGCAAAGGAACTAATCCCTGTGGTCTTTGTTTTCCCTCGATCGTAGCTCCGCCCCCCCCCCTCACCCCCCGCCTTTCTCTTTCTCTTTCTCTCTTTCTTTCTCTCTCTCGCTTCTCTCTCTCTTTCTCTCTGTCTCTCGCCCTCTCTCTCTCTTTCTCTCTCTCTCTTTCTCTCTCTTTCTCTCTCTCTCTCTCCCGTCACACCTCCGCGCGCGGACGTTGAGACACGCCTGACCCACATTTTCCCCCTGTGCATTGCAAAGCAGCCCGCTTGCGCCCGCCTATAACCCTGATGCACACGCTGCGCCTCGTGCTCCTCGCCCCTCAAAAACCGCTTCCAACGACAGGTAGCTTTAGGGCCCAGATCGTGGATGGATCTAGGCCTCCGACTCTCCTATCGGCACACCATCGCCCCTTCGAGAATGTTGCAGCTAGGCGGGAAGATAGGGGTTCGAGGGGTGGAGGTTAGTTGAGTTCGTCGCGTGTGATGGCAAGGCGCAGCTGAGGTGTGTGGTTGGTAGTCCCACGGCTTTTTGTGGTGGCGTGGTCCCTGAAGCTGGTGAGTGCTTCCGGGGTTCGGAGACGCGAAAGCTTGGGTGGGTCCCGCTGCATGCCCGGACAAGAAAAAACGGCGGGAGCAACAACAGCGTCACATCATCATCATCACTAACGATGATGACAGCACCCAATATACCAACACAATAGCCGCCACGTGACCGAACAACAGCGGCAACGATAACGGCGACAGCATCATCATCATTAACACCATCATGGGCGATGATGACGACAGCGATGACCAACAGTAGACGCAAAGAAGATTGTATCGGCGGAGATGTTTTCGCGCAACGAACCAATCTTTTAATTATTTAAATAATTAACAATCACGAACCTGGCATGTTTTTTTTTAAGACTAGAAACCTTCGTTACAACGTACCCTCCTCTGGCCACTGCTCATTCTCGCGGTGTATATCTGTCGCGACCATTCTGCTCATTGTTGCTGTCCAGGTGGAGTTAGATTCCAGGAGATTCCTCCCGCGTCAGGTGAAACTCAAGACCGCGCTCAGGGTCGGCGACGGGGGGGTGTCAGCGGTGTTTAGGTGACGAAGCAGAGAGAAAGTAACACCAAGAAACACATTGCTATTTTTTTTTCTTACAAGTGACCCCGCTGACGTGGGTTCATGAGAGCCTGGCAGTGTCATCAAAGGGGTGATGCTGCAAGATGAAACTAAAAGCAAGCAGCAGGACCAAATCAAACGAACAAATTGCGAATCTGTACGTACAGTCTTATATACTGCATTCGACACAAGATAACACGCCCACCTGAAACGACGCACCCGGTGGTACAGTAGTAGTATCTATTGCAGTAGTATTTTTTCGGATTATTAACGTGAGCCGAAAGCGTGAAACTACTCCCAGATCAAGTATATTTAGTAGGGCAACGTAAGATACCACCTACGCTTTAATATTTGTTCCAAGTTTGTTTGTTTTTTGCAAACGTCGTTGGTCAAAACCCACCCGGCCAGAGCGAACGCAAGAGATGATGATTCAGCTTCTGCATCATCCTTGTGAACCGTTGCCGGGGCCGAAGAAAACCCGGCATATCGCGCCGTTCCGGCATTGTAGGGATGCGAGGCCAACGGTCTAGCGACTACTACTGGGCAGAGATCGCATCATATTTTCTAGCGTTAACACCACAACAAACAAAGCATGTTTTTACATGAGTCCCCCCCCCCCCCCCCCCCCCCGGCCTTGCCACGGTGACGATGATGATCGGTCTGATGTGTCAGCCTGCAGCGTGGAGCGATGGTGTTCGAGCTACCGGTGCTCCTGTCGTCCCTCCTAACGGGCTGGACGTTGACCTGCGGAGGGCTTCTCCCGGCCCTGGTGGACGCCGGGGTAGGCTGGCTGTTGTCTTCGGCGTGGCAGCGTAGGGCCGAACGGTATGTGTGTGTTATTTTGTTTGTTATTATTGTGCATCACTAACCGGCTTGTGTGTGAGAGAGAGAGAAAGAAAGAGAGCAGCCTACGTTTCTTTTTTTCTTAGGAACAGAACCAATATATATATGAAGTGAAGGCAAAGACAAAAATACAGCGAAAAACTATCTCTCTCCACAGATGAGTTCATTCCAGGATAAATTGGAAATTGACCCATAGCGTCAGCGCAGCCAATACCTTGTTTTTCGTTGCTGGACGATGCGCGGCGCAACCTGTCTTTGTAAACGGTATATTTCTCGCCGCACCTCATGCTGCCGAATTGGTACATACCGCGATCGAAGCCAAGCGAGCTTACGTATCCCCTGAAAAGAGACGCTTCTACATCGACACGGTGACAGCCTGTTCTGTGCGCAGTGCATAGATTTTTAGAAAATGTGCTTTCGATCACGGAGCACTACCTGTTAGGGATATAACAACGGACGGTCGAAGGCGATATGTTGAAGTCTCAATCTTTTTAGTTGTTGTTGTCACCTCTACATTACCCATCGCAAGCAGTTTTCAGGAGCCTTTTTTTGCCCCGTGCGCGGTCCAGCAACAGAGGGGCCTTCTCCTGTGTTTTCGGTCCGTTACCACCTTGTTGTGCGTGGCCTGAGCAGGCTGAGGTCGGAGGGAGAGCCTTTGAGGCGCAGGCGGCTTGCGAGGGACTGGGGAGACGCGGCGAGCCAGGTGCGGCTGATGGTGCACATGGCGGACAAGAGGCGGCACGAGGAGAAGGAGAAAGGGGGTGAGCAGCTACCGCAGGTCACAAGCTCCGTCCATTTCGGGACGGACGGCTTTCGTTCTCTAGACTCTGAGCCTTCGGCTCTCGATCTTGGGGGTGATTTGATTGGTTGGGTCGCGTCTGGTTTTGTCCTACTTCCATACTTGTATATTTTTCCCCTACCCTGTTGTGTGTACAGTAGAGGGCCCTGTTTAGTGCCGGTTGAATAGTGCCGGTTGCCGGTATAGTGCCATACGATGTTTTCGGCTCGCACACACTGGAATGCCAAGTCGTTGTTCGGTACTTTGAATAGAGTCGGTGAAATTTCGGCGCACACGCCGGCACTAAAACAGGGACCTCTACTGTACAGTACCCTCTCCCTTGGTTTCTTGTTTATGGCCCATTTTTTAATTGACGCGGCCGTCTCTGATTCTTCGTCCACTATTTCTGCCGGACGGGCGTCTGTGGTTTGCAGGCAGACCAACGGCGAGAGGGTGTGTTTGTATTTTGGCGTTCCTGCAGATCGTGTGCCGTTCGTTCGTCCTCACCTCTCCAACGGTTTCGGGCAACGTTTGATGCTGTTATCCTTCTCACAAGTATGTGTATCTTCCTTAAAACCCAAAAATACAACCAGAACATATTTGTTCTCAAGTTTCCTTGACTGAGCGACTGACCTGCTGAATGTCGTGTTTTGTCCCCCAAGTCTGAAAACCCTCGATCGCTATCCTTCGGAGCGTGCGCGTTTTGTGTTCGTTTTCGTTTAAGTTGAGGTGGTGGCAATCTAAACTCGTCTTTTCGTGTGTCACCTCCTCTCCATCTCTCTCTCCCCCACCCTCTCCATCTCCCTCTCCCTCTCCCTCCCTCTCTCTCTCTCTGTCTTCCTCTCCCTGTGTGTCTGTCTCTTTATCTCGCCCTCTCTCCCTCTCTCTCTCTCGTGTCTTGCCGTGCTGATTTTCGTTACATAAACAAATTTTCGTCGCTCGAACAAACAAAGTCCCTTCGCGTGGCCATCACCCCGGCCATAGTAGCCCTAACCCGACATCCGTCCCACCAACCCAAACACGAACCAGGGATGGTCATCTTACTCGCGAGGTACGGCGCCGACCTCTCCCGCGACTGCGGGGAGCGGTGGTGGGCGCAAGCTCCGCAGAATGCAGCGGCGGGGGGGGGCACTGCCGGAACGCCGGCGATGCCTCTGAGCGGGTTGGTGGAGTCGGAGGGGCCCGAGGGGGCGGCGGCGGTGGAGCTGGTCTCTCAGCCGAACGTTGACGTTACCGTGCCCCTGCAATTCTTTGTCAAGGTGTGTACAATACATGCTTTGTATCTGAAAAACGCATGTCTGCCCGTTTTCTGCGGTTCCGTTGTCCCTACTTTTATGCGCGCGGGGGGGATCGCAGTGTCTCCTCTTCAATAATCCAGGAAAACGCCTGCAAATCTCAGTTTTCCAAAGTCTAACTCCAGTACGAAACTACAGTCGCAAAATAACCGTCCGCCGCGGTTGCTTGTGTACAACGTTAGTGTCTGGGATTGTAGATAGCCCTTGTGATAAACGGCGGACTAGTGGTCCGCGATTTTCCAAACGATCCTTCTATCATGGCCGATCTACAAGCAGGATTTTGGAAGCTGCTGTGCGGTCCGATTTTGAAACGCTTCAAGCACCTTTGCTTGCGGGTAGACCTACATATGCATGGCCCCAGGCATTCAAATTGACTATGGCCACGAGTAGGACATGTTAGGGAAGAGCTGCGCTGAAGTTCGCGGCCCCACACACTCACGTAGGTGCTGATTCGCCGTTGCTGCTGTGTGCTTGAAGCGTTTCAAAATCGGACCGCACAGCAGCTTAAAAATTTCTGCTTGTAGCTCACTGATCTCGATGGTGGAAGGATCGTTTGGAAAATTGCGGACCGCTAGTCTGCAGTGTATCGCAAGGGCTACATTTTCAGATTCTACCATTGTACACAAGCAACCGCGGCGGACGATTAATTTGCGATGGTAGTTATGTGCTGGAGTTAGACTTTGAAAAATTGAGATATTCAGGCGTTTCCTGGATTTTTCGGAGGAGGTACTGCGATCCCCCCCGCGCCCTTAAGAAAATACTCTACTACCCGTTCCCGTTCGAGATAAATAGCACTGGTGCCGCAGACGAAGGGCGTGTGTTGTTGGAAGTCTTTAACAGCAGTGAGAAGGGAACACGTGTATGGAAGCTTTTGGTTTGTTCCTTCGCCCGTGTTCTTTTTATATTTTGCAAAAGACAGAGAAACAGCTATTAAAAAAAAAACTTCTTCCGCACCTTCCGCACCTTCCGCACTGCCCCCCTCACCCCACCGTCTTTGCAAAAACTCTGTCTACCAACCGCCGCCCAAACGGGATGCGCGACACCACACCCCCGCAGGATTCCACGCTAACGCTGCCGTTCGGCAGCAAGTCCCACCTCCTGGGCTTCTTCACCCCGGCCCCGTGCCGGTTACCCCGTCGGGAACCGCCTTCTTCGGATTATCGAGAGGGGGCACACAGCCAAGAACGATACGGCTGGGGGGGGGAGGGAACGGCGGGCTGGGGTCCCCCGCTCCCCGCCGCGGCGGCGCAACTGTGAGCGGCGAAAATTTTGTAGGGATTTTTTTTCTCACAGAATGTGACGTACGTTCTAGTCTGCCGAGCCCCCCGCGCAGCAAAGGTTCCGACGTTTTTGGGGGGCGGGGGCGGGGTAGAGGTGTGTGGTTCTCGTAGCTTTGGTGATCGAGGTGGAGAATGAAGAGCATGGTACCACGCCGTTCAATGATGGAGCTTTGCACAATACAACCGTTTCTTCCCCTTTTTTTTTGTTGTCTCCTCGTGAGTTGACATGTATCCCCTGCGTGGCCTTCCTATCGTGTGTTTGACCCACCCACGCACACATGTTATTGCTACGGTGTCTGTCTTTAATCCGGAGAGTAGCGTAGACTCCCCCATGACGCTCGTTCACAGGATCCCAGATCATGGCCTATAGGAGCATTTTGTGTGTCCCACCGCACTGAGACTCATGTCTTTTCATTGGTCGGCAGGTTAGCGCGGTCGATGCTAACGAGAAAGACACACACATACACCTTGGTCAGCCGGCGGGCGCGGTCGATGGTAAATCAAGACACACATAAAACACACATCCCAGACACCTACAAGGAAGACCCCAGAGATGGAGAAGTATTGCTGCCTCCTTTTTTTTGTTTGTTTTACACCACGACCGTCTCCTTTGCTCTTACGTTCGCTGCTCCTTGCCGCGCGCGCCCCCCCCCCTTCCCAGGCGCATCCGGTACCTGTTCGCCGGACGCACTTTCGAGGAGACCTTCCGGGACTGTCAAGAAGTCGTCCTTCCCTCGCCGACGTCGGCTTACCTGGGAGACTCGGACGTCCGATAGACGGTTACGGTTCATCGGAAAGACGGTTTCGTCCTTCCCTCGCCGACGGCGACTTTTTACCAGGGAGACTCAGAGGGCCGGTAGACGGTTTCGGTTCGTCCGATAGACGTTGCGGTTCGTCCGGAACGCGGTTACGGTTCGTCGGAAGACGGTTTCGTCCTTCCCTCGCCGACGTCAAGGTACCACGGAGACTTGGGGGGGGGGTCCGATAGACGGTTACGGTTCGTCCGGTCGTTGGTTACGGTTCATCCGAAGACGATTTTGCCCTTCCCTCGCGGACGCCAACGTGCCGGGGAGCCTCAGAGGTTCCATGGACGATTACGGTTCGTCTGATAGACGGTTACGGTTCGTCTGAAAGACGGTTACGGTTCGTCCGATAGACGGTTACGGTTCGTCCGTCGAATCGAGATCTCTGCGGGCCACGGCCTGCAGAAGCAAGCTTGAGAGGCGAAAGCCAGATGGATGGATGGGTGGGAATGCGTTTTTTTATATAATGTGTGCGAGAGTGTGTGTGGCAAAATATTTGGAGGTGTTTCCCATGTATCACCAACCAGGAAACAAGTGACATATGCATACCTTGCCTGTTTGTATGACTGACAGATTGTGTCTATTTCGGGCCTTTTCGTCTACATGTACTACATGCATACGGCCTGCGGCATCTATCCCATCCTCGTCGCCACTTGATGGCCAACGAATGAGTGCTCGAGATGAGTGCGCCTGTTATCGGATGGTTATTTTGTTGCCCGGCCCCGATGAACCGCGCGCTCTAGACTTAATTTGTGCGTTATTGCTTGTGGGAGGAAGTGACTCGACGGTGATTTTGGGGTACATCGGGCGAGCTCAAGTCGGTGCTGGAGGAGAGGAAACACCCACGTGGACGCGTGAAAGAGATGAGTGCTCCGTAGATGTAAGGAGGCTTTTCTCTCCCCAGACCTGTCTTCCTACCTGCCTGCGAAGAGATGTTTTTTTTTATATATTCTTGTGTGTAGCTGCTGTTGTTGACGTACGCTAGACGAGGCTGGAAATTAGAAACTAGGGGGGCCCATGATCAGTATGAAGACGCAGCAGCAGCAGCAGCAGGAGCACCACAAAAGGTTGGTCAGGCAGCTACTTGGAAAACAATTTTGTTGTGTCGTATTGATGTGGTGCACGATCGATTGCGAGACAATCGCAAGCCAATTGCACCGACTGGCAAGGCAAATTTTGTAGCATTAACGTGTATACGCGGCTGGACGCATGCAGCGGCTGAGGATTTTTTTTTCTTTGTTGCGTTTCGGCTCACGTGCGCACGTGTGTGGGTGGTGTGATTTCGCCTATCGTTGTTGGGGTACAACGTGAAAGGAGAGGCGGGGGGTGTAGTATTTTTTTTTTTGCACTAGTCTAGAGAGTACATGAATTTTGTCGCACGGTCAGAGTGGGGGGCATTGTGGCTCAAATCATTGACACCACTTCCTGGGAGACGGATCTATTTACTATAATAACAGTCCGGGTTTTCTCCCGGTAAAGAGCCCGCACCAAAAGTGCAGCAGGGTGCGCTATTCTAAGCTTACAAGTGTCTTGCGCCACATTTTACGCAATAGAAAATGTTTGACTTAGACTTGATGTGAGAGAATGAGTGGGGAAGGTGAAGAGCAGTGTGGCACCCAGCTAGAGGCCCCGCAATATCCAGATTGGACGGGGGTTAAGAACTGCCGTGATTGGTCTGCAGCAAATGATGCGGTCGGGCTTTTTTGGTTGCCTGGAAAAGCGGGAACGGGCTCCATGTGCAGCTAAGATTGAACGAAGGAATTGCGATGTTTGTGCCCCGGCGGAGACCGAATCGTGCACGAGTGGCCCGGAAGGACCAAATTGGTACAAGCATTTTCAGCGTGGCCAAGGGAGAATGAAGAAGAAATCGTCTAATAGGTGCGGCGGGAGGTAATATGCGTATCATAGGAACGGCCAGGATTGGGGATGTAGTCCTCTGTTACACCCTTGCAAGAATGGCACACTGTCCAAGCGGCACTCCCACGCCTCGCCCACTACCGGAAGTAGTTGTTGTTTAGCTCTCTCTCTCTCTCGATTGCTATGAAGTCCGTGAGCGAGCTTGTGAAACGTGTGTTGGATGATCACGCAAGTAAGTCAAGGGCAGGCCATATGTGAAAAGAACGAGGTAATATTAGTATACAAACCCAAACAAAGTTGTAGAGCAAAGGCTATATTGGAGATGATGCTCATTCATCTTTACAGCTTCCGCAACAAGTAGAGCTGGTCCATCGCTGCTTCTTCCAACATTTTCCCAAGAGATCAAGCAAGTCAGCGTGTATGTATACGGACGTACGGACAGCAACCAGTTCCTTGCCGCCCACAGTTCTTTCCCGCGGCACACACAAACGAGAAGACCACCACCCCGATCTTTACAGCAATGAAGATGCACGTGTCCTCCCCCCGGCTTCAACCCGACGTACTGTATCCCGCATCATCGACGGCAACCCAGCCGGCGGGGACACCGACGGGCGGCATGTGATGAGACAACACCGGGGGTCACTCCGTGGTGTCGATAGAAAGGTGCCGGGTGCCCACTAATTTCTCCTTCGCCAGTGAATTGTCGAGTATAATAAGGGCAACTAGCGGGGGGGGGGGGGTTACGTCCGGGGGGGGGCCCCCTCCCCCCGTCAATGTCCGCCCCCCTGGGGGCCGGGGAAAACGGAAACTCCGGGGAAAACCGTTCCATCCCCCCCCGGCAATGTCCTTGGGGACAAAAAATACGGTTTTTGTTGGGGGTCCCTCCAAGAATGTTCAGGCATGGGGAAGCAACTTTTTCAATTTGGGGGGGGGAAATTCGGGCAGGCCCTTGGGTAGCCCCCCCCCCCCCCCAACTTCAGCCACCGAAAACACGAGAAAAATCCAATGATGACTCCTACATAAAACCCCAACGTTGCAGAATGACTAAACACCAGACGGGACCCCCAAAAACCGATCAAAAACCCGCCAATTTTTGTCGAGGAGGATGCACCGTAAGCCGGCCGACAGCAGCAGCAGCACCGAGGAAAATGACAGCAACACCAGGGTACATTGTTTATTAAGAGGAGGCTGGACTTCTTCACACGCCAACCGCGAAGAAGCAAAATCTGGCATCTCTCAAACACGGAAACGACCTAACATATGCTATAAAAAAAAAAACACGCGACTGGGCGTAAAATCCGCTGTTGTTCGAACGCTCACGCTTCACACACGACACTTGTGAACCACACGTTGCACCGCTATCGCATTCACTTCGTCGATAGAAAAATAATTCGCTTCAAGGGAAACGAAACTGGCTTACGTCTCGAGAGGCGTGGAACTGTAAACACCGCAGCAGCAACAGCAGTTGCATCTATAGTTCGCCCGAAATGGAATTGGCTGCTGTGAAAAAAGAAGAAAAAAAAAATCGTAGGGAAGCCGATCGCCTACATATCGGGCGAGAGCGGGAGCAACTGTTGGTATAAAATAAAACTTGCATGGAATGGAAACCTTGGTTGGTTGTGTCCGGCAACGGCCACTGCTGTGTGCACTCCTTAGGTGATTACCTAGGCGCGGTTGTGTTACTACTACCAATGACTGACATCGAGTAGTCCAGCACCAACGAGCTCGTGAGGGGGAACAAGAGACCCACCACCATCGCTGAGACGAGGAGTTCGTATTCTTTTACCTTCCTCCCTTTGGTACTTTACTATGGAAGCTTCTTGTCGAAGACCGAATAAACCGGAGAAGTTTTTGTGAACGGAAGCATTCGGAGCATCTCCCAGATCTAAACCGGAAAGTTTTCTGTGAACGGGAGAATTTGGAGCATCTCCCAGATCCACGTACCCCTTCGCAGCAGCAGCAGCAGCAGCGGCGGCGGCAGCAGCAACAATATAAAAAATATTGAACCCGACTATTCAGGACCAAAAAGGAAGAATGATACTTCTACACGACATGCGACAGCAGCAGCAGTAAACTTAGGTGAGTCGATCACAACTTCTCCCCGGCGTCGGCAGCAGCGGCGGCCGCCTCATCCGTGGGCTTGCTGTCCGCGCCCTCCTCTTCCGCGGGGGCGTCTTCCGACGTCCAGAGGGTGAGGTTGTCCCGCAGCAGCTGCAACAACAAAAACGCCACGTACACACACGCAGGCACACAAGGAAGACACGGGAGCAACAACCTTGAGAGATCCAGAGGAGAAAAAACAAGTTGTCCCGCAGCAGCTGCAACAACAAAAACGCCACGTACACACACGCAGCCACACATGAAAGATTAAGATTGTGCGGGAGCAACAACCTTGAGAGACCCGGAGGAGAACAAAACAAGTTGTCCCGCAGCAGCTGCAACAACAAAAACGACACGTACACACACGCAGCCACACATGAAAGATTAAGATTGTACGGGAGCAACAACCTTGAGAGACCCGGAGGAGAACAAAACAAGTTGTCCCGCAGCAGCTGCAACAACAAAAACGACACGTACACACACGCAGCCACACATGGAAGATTAAGATTGTACGGGAGCAACAACCTTGAGAGACCCGGAAGAGAACAAATAAGTTGTCCCGCAGCAGCTGCAACAACTAAAACACGTACGTAAGCACACACGCACGCACACAAAAAAATGCGAGAGCAACAACCTTGAGATGAAGAGGAGAAAAAACAGGTGGAAAAAAAAAACATGACGCACGCAAACACACCGTATACGGGGGCAACAACCTTGAGGCCAAGAGGAGAAGGAACCCCAATCGTAGAGATAGACAGATAAGCGGCAAAAAATAAAGCAAAATCATAGGGGAGATAGTCTAGAATGAACGGAGAAATACCAAATTACGATCGACGGGCATGGCAACTGCTACACGCATCCATGCATGCCTTCATCATTGTAGCGGTCTGATATTGTACGATTCAACAATAAAATAAGCGACGGTTTCATTAATCGTTCGACCCTCCCTCGTTGGTAGGTTGATCATTTCTATTTTTCAACAACAAACCAATGTCCAAACCATGGAGCCTCCGAGGGGGGTCCGTGGATGAGACCATTAGACCACGTTGCCTGCAAGAGATGCTTGGAGAGAGACCCAACCCATTCGCGAAGAGCCTTCCCAACCTGCCGTACCAGGAAGCCTCACTCATTTCATGTCGAAAATTTACATCGACAACTATCCCGCATGATGAGATTGTGGTTGTTGTTGTTGTTGTCGTCTTCATATTAAAAACCGTTCCGTTCTCTCTGCCCAGTGCCTTCTTCTGTCCGTACTATAATAGTCCGACGTGGTGGCCCTCCTGTATCACATGCTTATGCATACCATACCATACGCTACTACACCTGCATGATCAGGGTCGAATCTTTGTACGACTCCTCCGAAAGCGTGTCCAGCTCCGCGATGGCGTCATCGAACGCCTGCATTGCGGGCAAGCACCATCAAACAACGTTTTCGCCAGCGTACATATGTCTTCCACACATAAAAAGTATTAAAAAAGACACAAACAAATTTATTCATCTCACCAGCCGTCGTCGTAGCACAAATACAGTAAACCCTACCTGAGTGGCGGCTTAGGAAAAATACGCCCTGTCTGTGCTGAATCGTTTGAGACATAGCAGCTGTATGGCGTTGTGAGCTTTTTGTCGACATCCTACCGGCACTAAAATCTCTTCAACAAAAGACGTTTTCGATCTCCAGGACTTTAGCGAACAACTAAATCAGCAGCAGCCCACCAACCGCTAACATTCGGGGAACGCGCGATTTTCATTGCACGTGCATCGTAGAGACCCTGATGCTGACACCAGTTGTTGACATGATGGGATGCCAGTTAAACTCTGTCCCCGTTTGTACAACATTTGCATGGCTACGCACGCCAATCCGGAGAGTTGAAGCTGATTTCCTGTGCGCAATGTCTCACAAAAGATAATGCACACCTCGAAAAAGCAAATACTACTACGAAGAATATGGCATGTATGGAACCACCTATGCATATACCTCCTTCTTTGCGAGGCTGCAGGCTCGCTCGAAAAAACAATTACTATTACTAAGTATATGGCTGTAGGAACAACCTCTACCTTCTTCGCGAGGCTGCAGGCACGCTCGGGCGAGTTGAGGATCTCGAAGTAAAAGACGGAGAAATTGAGGGCAAGCCCGAGGCGGATAGGGTGCGTCGGGGCCATGTCCTGGTTGGTCAGGGTGGTCGCGCTCTGGTAGGCCTGTAGGGCCTTCTCCGCCGAGCCCTCCCTGGCCTCCCCCTGCTGGAACTCCGTGAGATATCGGTGGTAGTCTCCCTGCATCTTGTAGTAGAACACCTATGGTAATAAGCACGTGTGAATGGGGGGGGGGGGGGGGGCCCCCCTTTTAGGGGGGGGGGGCGGGGGAAAAGATCCCCGGGAGTTAAAATACCCGG